ATAGGATGGGTCCAAGAATCTCCCTTGGGAGACGCCGAACTGGATCGGTCAGACTTCCACAATCTCTTTGCCGCATCTCACTCTGAAGCAATGCGGAAGACTGAGATCAAAAAGAAAATATTGCTAGTAAATTTTAATTGCAAATGCAAAGGAATCTACCGACAATTTTATTATTGAAGATGCCATAAAATATTAAATTGCGGTAAAATTGGTGATTTAGATGGTATTACGGGAGTTTACACTGGTTATTTTCGTTTGATGATTACGTTTCTCAGTTTTCAGGTTGAATGATCAGTTTTTTATAAATTTTGTTTAATTAAAAATTTGAATTGCATTCTTCTTCTTATCTGGTAACGAGGAGATAAATAATTCGTATAAGATTAAGATTTGTATGAGATATGATTGAATGTCGTTTTGAAAATCAAATGCCCAAGAACGTATTTATAGGAAAAGAAGTGAAGAAGGATAGTCCTGGAGGGGACGAGCACGTGCTCTTTATTTTCGATTCGTCTCACGTTGTTGAGTGTGTAGTGCTATTACGCGAGTCGGCCATTAGTGTTAAGACAATGGAAGATTGTCGATGACTCGAGACCGAGAATTAGAAAAACCGGAGACACATTCAGGGGGGAACCGCTTCGTCACTTAGGACACTATTGTCTTCTCCATAACCAATCCGTCGAGCAATCTAACTAGGGCTTAATATCCACAGGCCCGTCTTTGTTTGATGTTACTGAGACGAAAGTATCCCTTATTACAAATAACAGTTCTTTTGGGATGAAGGAAAAGTATGGAGAGGTGGTTCCGAATAAACATCATTGTACTGGGTGACTTCGTGTTCCTCGCTTTAATTGAGAATTTTTTTACCTCGCTGTATTCCAAAACATTTGCATTATTATTGTTCAGATAGCACTATTAAATATTATGGGAAAAGAACTTGTAGTCTGGTTGCTTGCTATCACCCTGGTCTGCTTGTCGGTACTATTTTTTTCTGTCAGATGCGTTACATTTCGACATCTTCAGTGGTGTGTTTTTGTTTTATTTTACTTAGTACAGACGTACAAATCGAACTAATAATAAATGTAAAATAACGTACAATCTCACCAAAATGCTGAAACGCGCCTGCCGAGACCAGCGTGGATAGGTAGAACAGGCTGACTGGAATGTAAATACATCTGAACATGTATTTGTAGTATTCGGCATTGGATCTTAATTTTTAACAACTAATTAGAAAACAGAAATCATTTTTTAAGGGGTGTGTTTATTTTTAACATTATTGAGATTTCAAGAACATTTTAAAGGCGATTTTGCAATATTTCAAAACCTCAAATGTATAATCAGGGTTGCATATTGCGCATGGCATATTCACAAATACTCTGCATACGATATGGTTGATGAAAAAGAAATTTAGTTGTTACTGCCAGGCTTTCGTCCTATTTGCATGCAATATTGCAAATTCAGCCTTAATACTCCAGAAAAATTAGAGAGTCAAAGTTAATGGATACACACGAGGAAAAGGCAAACATGTATAGATGATGTAGATGTAGGTAGTACATGTAGTTCGGGGTGTGTAAAATACTGCGGCCTTCGAGAACTATTGCTTCCCCCGTTCTGTATTTATAGCACACCGGTAAGACCTAGTTCATCAAGAAATTTGATAAGTAGGCCCTTGAATTTTTTCGACGGATGTACATGTCAAAACACATCCTCCTGCGGGCAAATGTGACGCTACAGTTTGTCAGTAGGTATGTTGGTGTTTCCTCTTTGTAGGATTTTCATGTGCCAAGTTGAATTGTACCAGTCTTCTTCAGATGCCAATTCAGTCTGCCGTGTCCTGTCAAGAATCGAAGGTTTTCCTGCTTCTTTTGATGCATTCTGTTGTTTATTTCCTTCCAAAATTGGCTAGAAGATTCTTGGATTGACAAATGAGTGAATTCCACTTTCCTAATTTTCAACTTTGTTTTTGTCTAAGGTATGCATTGATAGTATGAGTCCCTTTGCCACAGAAGGACTCAGGGCCTATAAAAGGTTTAGAAACTGTCTGCTCTCTCGTTGTCCTCTACTCCTACATGTCCTGGGACTCAGCAGAGGAAGAGGTGTAGTTAATTTAATGACAATAATTTTGGTTATTATCTCTTACCAAATTCAATTACCTTCATATTGACCATAGTTAATGTCGTATTTATTTAGAGGCGTCGAGTTAATTTACTAAAAGCTCAAATAAATTTAACGAACGATAACGCTTTTCATACGTCAAGTGAGAGTTTTATTATGCCCAAATTCGTACATCCTTTCATGCGATGTTCTCAAAAGAAATCTGAAATATGCAATGTATTAAAAAATACACAACTATGTTTTTAATGACGATAAATATGCAAATAATATTTTCCACCAAAAGAATAAAATATATTTTTGTGATAAACTGTCACGGCAAAAAGTAAGCATTTATGACTTATTGTTATAGCTGTCCTCATGAAATTTCTAATCTTAATTAAGGCCTTAAAGCGAAACATAAATCGACATTTAGTCTGTTGTTTTTTGTTTTAAACAAAGAACGCCATCTGAAAGTGGGTTCAGACATTTTGTAGGTCCGCCAGTCCGACGCGCATGTGTCACCACGAGTGCGTGAGTTTGCGTCTGCACAACTATTGATGCCAAAAACACCAGTGTAGGCTAGAGAGCCGTGCGAAGAATCATTAGTAATAACTACATCAATTTATAAATTAAAGTACAAATCAATAATGTAAAACTGCAATAAGTTTGAGTGCTTTAAAAAACGAATAAACTAATAAATAAAGTAGTTAAACCGCATCTACAAGATTTAGCGATGTATGCGCATAAAAAATACGAACCCAGCGTGGCTTAAAGTATTATACAAAAGAACAATTTTTCTGAATTTCAAGAAAATATTAACCCTATCAATGAGGAGGTTTTACAGTTTTTCTCAGAGGCTGGCATCCTACTAACCCACAACGCACTGAAAACAAGTATTGTTTATTTTATTTTTTTAAATTTTTTAATTTTTTTTACGAGGGTTGCAACAGCAGAGGTTATATCAACCTCGGGGTGCCGGTGTTTTTGAAAAAAAGCCCGTTTGTTGGATTCGACTCCTCTTATTTTAATTATTTTCGAGATACGTATGTATATACGAACAGAGTGGTGCATAAATTAATGTATTGGATCTTCTTGAGGTCATTTTACAGGTGAATAAAAAACAAAACAAAAAAAACATCACTATTGGGTTTCACCAAGCTTTCGGCGAATGTTCCGCCATCTTCAGGGCCTAATTTATTGAAAACAAATTTAAATTAACAGGATTATATAAAACATCATATACTCATACATGTATATGATATATGATATAAACATCATGTATGAGTATATGATGTTTTATGTAATCCTGTTAATGTAAATTTGTTTTCAATAAATTAGGCCCTGAAGATGGCGGAACATTCGCCGAAAGCTTGGTGAAACCCAATAGTGATGTTTTTTATTTTGTTTTTAATTTAAGAAAGTACGTAATATATTTGTATTGTAAAATTTAAGCAATGTTTATAAATCCCAGGCCTTGAAGATGATCGCAATAAAGATCGAAACGTTGGCACGATAAAGAAAATGTTTTTGTAAAACCTACGTCACACCAGACCGCATCTCACGATCTCCAAATAATTATTTACAGTATGTTTAACTTTTTACGAGAGTGAAATATCTCTAATTCAGTTATTGAGAATCAAACTTTGGCCAAAACAACTTTTTCCCCCAAATAGTCATGTAGGATGGTTAGGAGGCCTAGGAGGCTTCCTGAAGAAGTGTTGTTATCTGTACACGAACCTTTTCCCGATTTTTCACGCGTATTGATTAATTTATAATTTATTTGAAAAAAGGAATTAAAAAAGTTAATTGAACTGTCTATATAATTCGTAAATACAATCATGTAAAGTTAGTAAACATCTCGGAACCTTGAGTGGAATTAAGGAAAATTATACGCATTATTCATGATGTTTACAGGTAAAACCACAATTAGAGGATTATAAACATGAACTATAGCACTGAAAAAATTACCACATCAATTTATATGTGGTTTCTTTGATAAACACATAAAAATAGCCAATAAAACGCCTACAGTATTTTGAATTCCTACCTATAATGATAATACAAATACGATTTTTTTTATGTTTGTAGTAAAAGTAAGATTTGCAGGAAACGGGAATAAATTGATAACATCAATACTCACGAATGAACTGAAGTGAGATTTTTAGAATTTATAAGTATTTTTTGAAAGAGATTGTATAAATTTTTCGATAGGGAGAACAGAAGGGCCCGAAACCGGTCCAAGAAAAAACATGTTAAACACTCAGAGTTCACGAAGGATGTTATTTTAATAAACCTCATCACCCACAACAAACGGCTGGAAAATTTAAAAAAATTACATACATTTAGAATTTACGACATACATTTTTAGAATTTACGTATAAATTAAATTTTATTTTAAACAATTCAGACGGTAGCATGGTTGTGCCCTTGTAAAGTTGAAGCGACGGACTTGTTTGTGACTTGTTGAAGAAAATGTTACCATTTTCCCTCAATTTTCAAATTCAATGTTAATGCTATTGAGTAATTCTAGTTTCGATTATACTAGTATAAATAATAATTTAATACTAGCATTAAATAATGATAACTTTATAATCATTTTATATTTTTTAAGAAAGTACGTTTAAATTAAAGCGGGAACGTGCTTTAGTTATATCATTTCACGTTGGATGGCAGCACGACATTTCGTCATGCAGAATTTACAACTGTTTTACGTCATTAAGTCGGCTGAAAAGTTAGACATCTTACTTATCCATTTTTCCAATAATTTTCACATTATCCTTCAATTTGAGGAACATATTAATTGTTAAAACGATAGGACAATGATTGTGGAAAAATATGGTTTTATCAACATCCCGTTTGTACGATATAGTATGTATATCTCTGGTTGGAAAACAGAGGAACATATTATTACCGTTCTTGTCTTGGAGAGCATAATGTCCAGGGATCGTTAAGTGAGGGCATTGTTGCTGACAACGAAAAATTTATTCTACGCACCCTTACCAAGGGCATCGCCCGGGTTAAGAGGTGCAATTTTTGGAAGCCCTTTTACTTTACAAAGGGCCGCTGTTGTAACAAAGATCTACAAAAAAAAAAAAAAAAATAAGTGCAATATAGACGTAAGGGTACTGTTGTTTATAGATTATTCAGAAATCGTGAGAAGTGGTCTATGGCATGATGTAGGTTTCAGAAAAACATTTTCTTTATCGTGCCGTCGTTTCGATTTTTATTGAGATCATCTTCACGGCCTGGGATTTACAAACAGTTTAAATTTAACAAATACATGTAGGATGTGGAAAAAAAGTGAATTTATACAATGCAAAAATTTATATTCAATCAAAGTATTTGTACTCACTCAAAGTGTGTGAGTAGAAATACTTTGATCGAATGTAATTTTTTTTTCTCCAAATTGATTCTGGGAGTCAAATGGGGTCATTGTGGCAGTTACAGTATAGTGTAGGTATAGTTACAGAACTTTTCTGTACTAAAAAACTGTAAAAAAATATACAATAATTTAACAATATTAGTACTAAAATAAAAATATTATGTTAATACATAGTCGGTAGCCTCCGCCCATAAAAATAAGAAGAAGGAGTTTCATCTTAGAATAAAACGATTGTTAGAAAGCGAAAAATGATCGAAGGAAGAATCATCCGCCGTTAGGTTTAACTATTAAGATGACTTTTATGCAAAAGTCGATGCACAAAAATTCGATAGTTCTTCATCGAGTTACCTTTTGTATTTAATAGACAGACAGGCAATAAACTCCACCCACCTGTAATATAGCTTAATCTGTACATATTTTTATATATTAATCAAAGTTTCACGTTTTTTAACGTTTAATAATTGCGTCTGTGCAAAAATAGATAGCTAATAAATAAATAGCTAAAAAATTAAAAAAAGACAGACAAATAAAATTTGTTTTAATTTTGTTTGAAATTTTTAATTAACATTTCAATATCGCGTATTTCTTCCTCTTGCGTAAATTACATCTCGGAGACACCTCGGCATTACTTTCTAGGTTAGCCCATTCTTCACGAAGAAGAAGATGAGATTCTTTCAAGATCGGGGAATGTATGAGGTGATGGACGTGTCTTTATTCGTCTTTTGAGGTTATACCATAAATGTTCGAAGTGTTCAAGTCTGGAGAACGGGCTGGCCAGGCTAAGACCCTTATGCTGTTGAAGGTAAGTTTGCACTATGTGAGCCACATGTAGAAGGGCATTATCGTGTATTAGAATAGTATTGTCGCTGATTTCATCGAGGATAGGCAACGCATGATGTTCCAAAATTTCGTCCACATAGCGAGTGGCCGTCAAAGACCCTCCACGAACAACAACCGTCTCTGCGCGACTCTCCATTGAAATTCACGCCCACACCATCACTGAGCTACGTTGAAAAGGTTGGCTCTGGGAAAAATTACAGGCTTCGTACCTATCATTTCGCCTTCTCAACACTCTTTCGCGCCCATCTGGTGATCGTAGTGCAAATGTACACACCTGTAAAAAGTACAGCAGACCAATCGTCCAAAGACCAATGGCTGAGTTTTCGAGCAAATGCGAGCCTTGCAACTCTGTGTTTCGGTCAATTCTGGTTTAAGAGGCGAAAAGCCATCAGTTCATACTGATTTAATCTTCGTTCAGGAATTTGGACACCTAACTTCTGGAGCGGATGAATCGCTTGAAGAACTGTAAGGGCCGGTTTCGCAAAATTCTCAGTCAAAAAACGGTCATCCTATGATTACCCTAGGGCGCTCAGAACCGGGCATTCTATGGTAGGTTCCAGTTTCTAGAAAACGTCTAACGGCGCAGAGTTTCGTAGGGAACTCCGATGGCAATAGCTGCATACGTGGTGGATCGTCTATTATCAATCAGTGCCACACCACAACATCCTCAGCACCAAGTGGTATTTTTAAGTATAAAAATTGAAATGAAGAAAACAAAGATGAAAACTAAAAAGTTTATTGGTTCAGAATTCAAATGAGACTGAATAAAACATTTTCAATACCGTAAAAAGTAATCATTGAAAAATTCTTTATCCTTTTTATTTTGTATATAAATTATCTTTCGAACATAAATTTTGTGACAAGAACATATTATTTTACAGATTACATTTTTCGTACATACTTATTATTACATATACAACAATAGTTTTGTATTTGTTTGTAGCGTGATCCCTAGTTTTGGATTAAGGATTAAGTGTGTTTACCTCTAATTGATATGCCCAATTTAAAACATAGCATAAACAAATTTATTGACAAAAACAATGAAACAAATTAAGGGTAGAATTTTTTTAAATCGAGAAAATGAAAACAATCAATCGAGCGGAATTTTTGCCTGTCAGTGTATTACATACAATACAATAATGTTCTTTTACTTTGTAAAATGAAAATCGTTGGCCAAATCGCTTTAGTGAATTTTTGTCGGCAGGCAAATTATTCGTTCGACAAACGTTATAAACAGACATAAATAACTACTGAGCTTTTCCGTTACACGCTCTATCGAAGTGTTCCACTCGGTTTGGTACGAACCTTTTGAAAATAAACGCACTTTAATGCGGAGAGGACAATGATCATGCATGACAATACCGGTTATCGACCTGAAACGGTGCCAAATCTACAAGTGCAACAGCCCGTATAATTGCCGTCGTATGACGACTCGGGATGAACTCACATTTTATCTCACTCTCCGTGGTATGAGTCCGAGTCGAGGCACTTAACGCAAAGGATGAGCGGAAAGAGTCTCTAGGCTTAATTGCTCTCGTTGGACGGAAGTGGGACGAAAATGCCGATAATGAGAGGTCGGCGTGACATTTTCCCCCTGTCGAAGGATGCAAATCTCAGGACACCATTGTTCACCCTGAATCTATCATCTTCGAAAATAGATCAGTTCACAGGCTGACATTTCCAACCATGATCCTTCTCTGCCATAATTTATGTCTCCATAAGTACCCCCGAGATTCCCTTTAAACGACTCATCGGACACAGTCACGCTACAAATACAAAACTATTGTTGTATATGCAATAATAAGTATGTACGAAAAATGTAATCTGTAAAATAATATGTTCTTGTCACAAAATTAATGTTCGAAAGATAATTTATATACAAAATAAAACTCTTTTAACAACGACCTCCGGCAGACGGATTGTACTCCATGCCTATACCATGCATTGTAATTGATCATATAGATATTTTCATGATAATAAAAAAAATTACGAAAAATGATTATTCGGAGATCGTGAGATGCGGTGTGACTTAGGTTTTAGAAAAACATTTTCTTTATCGTGCCAGCGTTTCGATCTTTATTGAGATCATCTTCAGGGCTTAAAGTGTTGTTTTTCTGCGTAATTGTGTCATTCTTGTCAGTCGTGTTGAGAGTGCCAGCAATATCTCACTGGCACTCTCAACACGACACACAAGAATGACACAATCACGCAGAAAAACAACACTTCGAGCCCTGAAGATGATCTTCGAGAGTTCAAAACGTGGCACGATAAAGAAAATGTTTTTCTAAATCCTACGTCACACCAGACCGCATCTCACGATCTCCGAATAATCATTGATTAACGGTAACTAAACCCCACACATTACGAAAAATAAAACAACACAAAGGAATATTAAGAAGAAAGATAATTGTAGAGAATTGTTTTCAGAATTAATACATATTAGTTTTGCAAATAAAAGTAAATTTTTAAAAAAGGCTAGTAAAATGTAAACATGAATTTGGAAGAATATTAACTTACGAAAAGATAAACAAAAAATATGTACACAAAATAACAATTCAAACATATTTTAAATATATATAAGCAAAATAGTTAATTCACCTATAAATGGCGTAACAAAAGCGTCAAAACGAGACAATGCGTATTATAATAGTATAACCGACCAAATGTTTCCTGCAACCTTGGAAGAAAAAGTTGTTTGCATAAAAGTGGTTTGTCTTATAAAAATTCGTGGGACAAGAGTCCTCGAAATCGATACACTATTAAATAAAATAAAAAAGTAATAATGGTTCCACAAAAAGTAAATATCTCCTCCTCAGTTCATTAGGAAAAATGAATAGTTGCAACACTTTAAAGTAATTAACGTCATGGATCCGTCCGCCTGGAATTGCCTTTGAATTTAATACATACATCCAACACAAATGTTACCACTTAGGCTTGCCATATCGATCAGAAAATTATATAAGTGCTTTTATACCAATAAAATGATTGACAACTCATTGCTGTACTGGTTGCTGTAGTGCCAGAAATGAAGTGCAAAGAGTAGTGCAAAATCTTAAGATTTATCAACTTCTATGATATTTATGAGATAAAGCAACAAACACCTGGAGCAACAACTGTGCAACAAAAGAAAAATATCCTTTTTACTCTTGTTCTCTCACATTTCTAACTCACCATCTCTCTAAATTAATAACTCTAATCTAATATCTCATATCACACTATTAAAACAACTACATCTTCGAAAAGCTCCAGGATATAATTTAATTACAACAGAAATATTACAAAATTTACCCCAAAGAGGCCTACTTTACTTAACATACAGGTAAACTATGGTGCTGTACTCAGTATCACATATTTTCCATTTCAGTGGAACTTCTCAATAATTAAAAAGAAATAAACATCTGGTCTTTCTAGTTCCTATCGGCCCATTAGTCTCCAATCTATCTTTGCCAGAATTCTATAAAACCAACTTCCCTGACGATTATTGTCCATTATTGAAAATTCTAATATTAATCCAGATTATCAGTTTGCATTTTGCTTTATTCACTCGACAATTCAACAGCTACATCGTTTTACTGACAATATCGTATTTTCCCTTGAACATGCCTTCCATCGAGTCTGGCACTCGCGCTTACTTTGGAACCTGAAGATCATCTTCCTTCAACATACTATCTCATACTGAGATCATATCTGTCAGACCGATTTTGCCGAGTCAGTCAGGGAAATGAATTCTCACCAGGGCGGGGTTTCTCAGGGACTTGGTCCATTTCTATTTTCAATATACACTGAAGATATTATATTAATTCTTACACTTACATTCGC